CAGAGAGAGAGAGAGAATATAGAAGACTCAATTATACATAATATAGATAATTTCTTTATTATTACATTCTTTAAGTTCTCAGTCAATAATGTAATATTAGAGTATTCACTATTATCTACAGATATAGATCTGTCAATATATAAAGACTCTATACAAATTAAAATAAATATATCAGTATTTGTATTTATATAAAATAATCAGAGAATATAATCAGAGAACATGATTAAATACCTGTTAAAAAAAGAAGATTAAGAGTATATAAGAAGATGAAGAAGATGTGTTATTTATAATAGTATATTCTGATAATTGTTAGAAGATAAACAAGTTATAATCATATTTTATAATATATTATACTTACTGCTAATGAACTGTCTGATATAAGTACTATAAAAACACTTATTATAAGAACAGAGAGTTATTACTAGAAATATATATAATATAATAGATAAACAGATAGAAAGTGTTAAATAGAAGAAGAGATAGAAATCTTGAATAAGATAATAATATTAAATGATAATAATAATAAAGAAGATAATTAAAGAATGAAAAAAGTTAATAAATAAGTAATATAATATAGTAAAAGTTTCTTTATAAGAGTATATATAAAATACTAGCTGAATCAGAAATAGACTACACTATTATAAATACTAGTAATATACTAATCTGTATAAAGTTAGAGTGTATATTATAATTATATAGATGTAACTAGACTGACTACTGAAATTATAAATTTTATATTTAATTTTATTTAATCTGATCTTATATATTTCTTGATATGAATTTCACTGAGACTAGTTATTAAAAAAACATGTAAAGTAACTATATATCAGATCTTAAAATGAAATTATAACTTGAAAAAAATAAGAAAGTAGTCTTATTTAATCTCATTTAATCTTATTCTTAATATAAAGTTACTATTTTTAGACATTTTAAGGTTTTTTTAAACTATTTTTAATTTTTTAAAAAGTAACACTTTTTGATAACACTTAAATGAGATTTAAAGTCATTTAAAGCAATAAAAATAATTTAAATTGAGAAGTGAAAATTATAATCTTATTTGAAAAATGTAATAAGAGTAGATAGTAAGTCTTATTAAAACAGTATAAGACTACTATTTAATGTTAAAAGTGTGTAATAAAATTAGTTAAATTAATAATGAAACTATTAAAAAATCTGATTCTGATTTCAAATATAATTACATAGTCAGTCTAGGCGTGACTGAATCTGATAGAGAAGAATGTGATTCAGAAGAATGTATAACTACTGAATAATAACACAGTCACTTTTAAACACACTTATGAATGTAAAGAGGCCCTAGCGGCCACTAATTAATTTAGATAATATATATAAGAAGCCGGCGTACGCCTGTAATTGTACGCTGGCTCAAGCAACCTTTGAATCACATCTTGGATTTAATGTATCCCCTACGGGTTTCGAACCCACGCGCCTTGATTTCCCACGCCAAGGCGCTACCGGGTGGCCGCATTAACCATTCGGCCACCGGGGCTGTCTTCACTCAAGATTTTATGTTCTGAGCAAGTTATTGAGTCAAACAAGCATCTATAAGATTAGCTATATATTTTTATATGTAATTCTATGTATATATTTTCATCATATAATAATATTTTATCTTAAAATCTAATTGCGTTGTTAAGATATTATTGGGTTGATTCCATCATAGAAGTAGCGAAATAGCGAGCGTTAGGTGGAAACGAGCGTTAGGTGGTTGATTACGTTATCACTTTTTCAGCTAAATATGCTGTCAGCTTGGCATGCTTGGCGAGTTGTACAGAGTTATACGCAGAATGTACCGAACAGAAGGCCTTATCCGGCCAGGTTAGCGTGTATAACCCCGGCCAGAGCCGTCCAGGGCTGTACAAGCTGGGACTGTGCGGACTTTATACGGCCCTGGACGGGGTCACCGAACAGGCCCTTAGAGATTACATTACCTGTGTGGATGAGCCATTGCCGGTCATTTGTCTACGCGGAGTTTGCGGGCGCTGTCCAGAGATCTCTTCAACCTCTTCAATGCACTGCTACTGGGTTATCCGCGCGCTCACACGACCAGGGAATCGGGAGGGAGGTCAACACGAAGGAGAACACCTGAATGAGCTTTTTGGTTTTGTTTCTCGTGGGCACGGGGTGGCGTCGTTATGCAGGGCGGGCGTGGGGTTGTTGCACGAGCGAGTTATGGTTTGAAAGAGGCGTGTGAGGGGAGAAAGAAAAGAAAAGAAAAACACGGTCATTGTCTGGTGTTGATTTGACCGAGTAAGTTAGAGAGAAGAGAGAAGAGAGAAGGGGGAAAGGTCAAAGTGTCGTTGCTGTAGCCAGTGATTATTCTTTAGATATTTAGAGTAACTAAATATCTACAGTATTTTGAGAACATATGACACTGGGATTGTCCTCCTCACCGCCAATTGCCATGCCATCTTCAGATTCCCTCCTCTCTTCTAGTCCTCATCTCGGACTTTGCATGCATCATTGCATCACTCACATCATTCATTCACAGCCTATGCCTTGCTCACGTTTTCCCCCCGAGTTGGATTGAAGAAGTAACTACAACGCGCAGTACAGATTAAGTTACCAGTGCTGCAAATCAGTTAAAGCAGGGTTTTGAAATTTCAAAGAACGCGCGGAACACATGCCATACTCTCTTGTTTTCTTTTTCCTTTTCCGGCGCCCGCCCGCATTAATCTCCCGTGAATCGTGGGGTAACTTAACGGAAAGAAAGAAAGAAAAAGAAAAAGAAAAAGAAAAAGAAAAGCCTCAAAACCAAGCTATAATAATGACGGACCCGGGTGTGTGTGAGGATTTTACCATATAATAATTCTCATTTTTGTCGTTAACTAGTTCTTTGTTCAGTGCGGAATAATTCTCCAATCGTCATCCCGGTATTGTATATTATTGCGAGGTAACCAGGTAATCTTCAATCTACTCCGTATAGAGTACTCCGTACAAGTTGGATGGATCTCCGAGTTCACTGGCAATCTCCTTGTAGATAATTAAAAATCCCTCTGAGCAGGGAGCAGGGGATCAATCAATCCTTCAATCCTTCAATCCTTCATTGAGTTGAGTAGTTAGTTATGGATTATGAGCTAGTTTCTGAGGATCACCACAGGCATTCTCATGTATGCGCATAACTATTAACTATAGGCTCCGCGGGAGTTGAGTTGATGAAGTGAGAGTTCTTGCTTCATCAAAAGAACTTAGATGGATTCATATTGTATCACTAGTCATTGGAGGTTCATTCGGTTAGAATTTATTATTTATTCACAGAATGAGATTCAAAATTTGAAAAGAGGGCACGACTAAAGGAGAAGAAAAGAGGAGAGAGATACAGGAACCAGTTCAAGAGAGATAGATAGACATGTTAACTGTTGATTTGAAGGTTATGATAATCTCGGAGATGAGACGGTAATGAAAATGCTACTGACACTATCTATATATATATATATAAGCGAGCAGAGTTCAACCACCTCTGTATGTATATATATATAAGATTTATCCAACTAAGTTACTTAACTTTTCATTTATTCCTCTACATTTCAAATGTCTCAGAATACTCACATTTATTCCGAGAACCCGTGGCGTTAAGAACAACCGATGCAGCCTCATGAAAAAAAAAAAGGCTCATTTTCTCACCCGTGTCACCGACAGCACTCTGTACCTTATACCTACAGACCGGGAGTACATAATAGATCTAGGCTACTGGGGCAAAATCACCACCAGCGAGCGCAACTGCTGGTAGAAGGGCCGAATCAACCCGGGACCCTCAACAATAGATAACTCTCTCCAGGCAGGAAGACATCCCCCACATGCCGCAGAGCCGACTGCCACTCACCCCGCCACACAATACCCACGCACTTACCACGCACGGTGGGGCTTACATCAATACCAATACAATACCAATCAATACCAGTCATATGTTTTGCAAAGAAAACCTTAACTCTAATATATCAGAAAAAGGAAAAAAATTAATGAGATCGGCTACGAGAAATTCTGCCTGAAAAGTCAGCAGAAAATAAATACAATATCTCACCTGCAATCATCACGATTCACAGCACAGACAGACCTACACATTCGTCTGATTAATATATGTGCCTAATAATAAATTATTATTATTATAATGAGTATAGCTGAACTGCTCCAGCTAGAAGGAAGGAGGAGCTAGAGATACGATACACAGACACTACACAGATACTACTACTCTGTAGTTACTACAGAACCAGCCGCGCCAATCAAAGCCGCACACTTTCTCAGCAACGTCAGCCAAGACAGTCAAGCAATGCTTGGTTGCTTCTGTAGACCTTCTAGAATAGCGCTTGTATTTGAGCTTAAGTTGCAAAAAGGAAAAAAAAAAAACCATGAAATATGTAAAATATCAATAAAATAATACGTACTGTAAGAAGAAAAACAAATAAAGAAAAGAAAGTTTGTTTTGCCGGTAGCCCAGCTCAGTCCGGAAGACTTCTCCCAGTGATGTGATTTCTTTTCGACATTTTTTTTTCTTAAAAAAAAAAAAGAGAGAGAAAAAAATTAATCCTTCTTTTCCTAGGTAGACTCTTTGAAATAATTAAAATAAATTACATTCTCTTCTCTCTCTTATTCTTACACCCTCTAATATTGTACAGTACATACATGCATGTAGATTACATGTCCCTTTCATAAACAATTAAACGATGGAAACTCTGTCGCAGTGTCGCTCGTTCCGTTCCAAGGCTGATTGATCATTGATTGCGCCCCCACCGATGGTGTCAATTTCCCTTTTCGGCCGCGGCCTAGCCTATTCGGGTGCGGGATTTATTGCAATTGGCACTAGTCTAATTCTTTCCAGCCTAGCGCGGTAATATTCAAGGCTACCAAGGTAGATATAGATATATATATACGGAGTATATATATATATATATATATACATGTACATACATAGTTATATATATATATAGTAATTGGCAATTACAGCAGGTTTGAGAAATACAATTACATACCGAGAACTTTTTGTAAAAATTACATCCCCGGTTCATGGAAGAGAACGAGACATGCCGCTGGCAATAAATATAGCAGCTGGGAAGTACTTACCACTTACTACTTACGTATATTGCGAATGGATGGTGAGAGGTCTGTAGCATATCATCCCATCTACCATAACATCTGAAATGTGATGGAAAAGATTTGACGGTATGAGCATGTTTCAAGTTTCATACAAGATATGTAATGAATAAGAAAAAACGCTATATAAAGTCGCTCAAACAAACGGGGGAATCATGCGGGAAGATACTATATCCAAAGCCAGCCTGTCCTCGTGACCTCTTATCTGTGGTTGCAGACAGTGGCTTGGGTATATTCACATATAAGAAACTGGTAGGATTGGTAAAGACATATATCAAATATGCTCATTGGATTGTAGGGAAAAAGAAAAATGAAGTAAACAGAAGCCAAGGGATCACATCCTCTTAACGACAAAGGGTACCGACAACCTTGGAATACCGACCGATTGACTGGCTGCGATTAGCGGATCGCGGTGCCAAAAAAGGTTAACTAAACCTCCGATACAACGAACGCATCACCAAGAATCCCTCCTCGAATCGCTCGATTCAAAGGACCGAATCACCTTAAACGGCGCGTCCTGCCATAGCTTCCCCCCTTTCTCCTCCTCATATCCATCTCCATCTTCACTCTCGTCCCCCTCTACCTCCTCACCCTCCCGACCCCTCTTATCATTATCCTTATCCTTATTTTCCCCCTTCACCAAATACGACTCCCACCGCTCATCCCCCCACACCTCCCACCCCTCCTGCTGAAGCAAAGCCGCTCGACTCCCCCTCTCCAACAAAAACGCACTAGGCCTCCACATATCCACCTCCTCCGTCTCAAGCCCCTCCAACCCCTCCCCCGGCAGCGCCGTCCTACCCCTCCGCACCGGCCACACCCCCTTCTCCGCCCACCCATGCCCCTCCACCCCCTCCTCCCAATCAACCCACACCTCAAACACGCGTAGAGCGCTAACTTGGCACCCCCACCGTCGTGGGCCGTCAGCGGCGGCGACAGCCTCCACCAGCGGGCGCAGCAGAAAAACCGCTCCCGCCGCGGAGATGCACCGCTCGCTGAAGGCCCAGGGCCGCTTGAGCGAGATGCGCAGCTCGCAGAGACCCGAGAGGCGCGGGAGGAGGCAGGTGCATGTCTCTTCCCAGGCGGTGGGGGGGCGCGGGGTGTAGATGGGAATGTCCTGGGCGCGGTAGCGGGTGAAGGAGGTGAGTTTTCGGTTGATTTTGTAGAGGGTTGGGGATGGGATGGTGGGGGGTTTGGCGATGCGGTTGGGGTTGGGGTTGTTTGCTTGTTGGGTGGTTGAGGAGGTGGCGGAGGATGAGCGGGACTGTCGTGGTGATGGCGACGATGATGATGATGATGATGATGATGATGATGATGATGATGATGATGATGATGATGATGATGATGATGATGATGATGATGATGATGAGGGTCGGCGAATTTGGCGGAATGAGGGTAGATATTGGAGGTAGTAGCAGGAGTCTACGTAGTTGAGCCGCGGCCCGCTGATTTCGAGTTTTGTGATTGCTTTGAGGTGGGGTTCGGGGATGGAGATTGAGAAGGCCAGGAGAGTGATTAGGTCCATTTGGAATATCAGGTGTTTGTACAGCACTGTGATTGCTTCGGTGTAGCTGTTTTGTCGGAGTTAGTATAAAACAGATAAATACTACAAAAGTAAAGGTAGTTAAAAAAAAAAGAAAAGAAAAGAAAAGAAAAAAAAACCATACATACACTTGCCGACAAACAGATAACAAATCCAAAGCGCCAACGATGCCTCTCTTTGCGCCGTCCGCGAACGTCACGGGGGCCGCTTCCAGCTCCTGCGGCAGATTGCCAAAGGAAATAGGCCCATAACCCACCATTGGATGATGAAGGTTGGTAGACAAACAGGCATATTCCTCCCCCCGGCCCTTGAAACATGTATATCCCTTCTCGGTACCCTCCGCACAGGCAAAACTGGCCACTTTCCCAGGGATTCTGACGAGGTGGACGCGATGGCAGGAGAGGGCGTGATGGTATATTGCCAGGCGGATTTCGAGAGGCAGCCGCCTAAAGAAGGGCGATTGTTGGGTTTTGAAGTGCGGGGCACCAGTCGATGGGGATGGCGAACGTGCGAATGAAAAGAAATGTGATAATAAAGGAACTCGGGGAGGTTTGGCAAATGGCAGTTTGGATAATAGTCTCCCGACCCTGTTCGGCCTGTCCTTGCTGCGCGCCGCATCGAACGAGGTGCTGTTGTTCGTGAGAACGTTATTGACGCCGTTCGCACGGCCGTTGGAGGAGTGACCCTCCTCAAGCATGGAGGGGGTTATGGAAAGCTTTCTTCTCTCTTCTGGGTTTGTTGAAGCCAGGCCCACGATGGGCTCCATGAGGCCCTCTGCCCTCCGCTCATCAGCGGCTTTCTCAGCAGCGAAGCTGACGATGAAGCAAGGGTAGACGGGCAGGAAGAGACATGCAACAACTGATAATAAGATAGTCCTGAGGATGGTCCTGATCGCGTCGACAACCATAGCTCATGTTTATTTTTCTATTATTATTTTCTATCCTTTTTATCTTCAAAAGCCTGAAGTATGTGCAGTTTCTCCGATGGTGAATTCCTGGTTCTCGAATATCCCCAGGTTTTTGGAGCGGGTGTTCTCTCTCCACATTCGGTGCTGGGCGTCGCGGACTTGTCAGAGTCAGATTGGGCTGGCTTGGGCCGGGCCTGCAACAGCGGGGAGTATTGCCACTAACTAACCATCGCGTAGTATGCATGATTGGTCTGTTTGATGGGATATTTATTGATTCAAATGAGAAGCGACAGACAGACAGACCGCGGAGTTGAGAGCATCAGTAAGCCAGAGTTTTCCTGTCAATGCCTCATATATATATATAACTTACAGGTAAAAAGGCATATCCTGCTGCCAGCTCTTTCTTGGCTGTGGAGAGAGCGAGTTATCTCAGTAACCCCATCTCGCGATCCAATGCAAGGTCCCCGCAGCCTTAGCCAGTGCAGTGTCTAGGGCCCGTTGTGGATATAAGTTAGCGGTGGTCCCCGTCCCCAGTGCCAAGTAGAATGAAGATATGGACTGACTGTACAATGTACAATGTACATACATACCCAACAGTGTCCCTCCATTCCCTTTGCAAAAATCCATCGCTTCCATGCTAATAAATTACGGGCAATTATAGATATCAGTAAGATAAACGGGTTGCACCAATTTTCAGAAAGGATATTGCAGGCAGAAAAACAGAGCAAATCACCCCCCAAGCAAGCAAGGGCTCGACCCCGTCCACAGAGATAGCTTGCAACCTAATCGGAGTTTAAGTTAGTTTAAGTCAACCACAACAGGATCTTCTATACTCCGTAGTACCAAATGGTAACTAACCTGACAAGGAGTTTTGTACTTAACACGATTGTCTAATCCATCCATTATCTATCCTCCGCTAGCCGGTTGGTCGTCCTCTATATATCCCCTTCCCACCCCCTTGTCTGTGTTGAACAAATACCCCACATCTCAAAAATTCACCATCTCCCACCATCGCACAATATAACCCAATAATACTATACCAATTCCCGGCGCAACACAAGAACAAACACAAAAACCAAACAGCCAAGGAATTGCTCTCCCACCCACTCCCCCCCGCCAAGCCCCCGGTCCTCTTCAATCCCGCTTTTTCCACTCCGCACCAGCGCCAAGCGTCAGAACCCTCGCCAAGCCGCTCCGCCAAGGGATGAAATGACAATATTATTCGCACCTTGGCGGCGAAGATGGCACACAAATGTCGTTGTTGGGCGGACAGCATGATGCATTATTGATGCGTCGTCGCAACTTCCAAAGGCTTGCGTTGCCCGCCGCCCTGCGCCCCCGCAGCATTGCAGAGAACAAAGCTCTGCGCTGAATTGTACAGAATGTATTTAATCATGATTCAATTCATACATACAATAAATATTGCTGAAAGAAGCTATTCTTCAATTATAGATATATACAGTTAAAGACTATAATATTTATCTGAGAATAATATCAGTGCTGAGCTCAAACTTATAAAATTAACTAAGTGAAAAGCTTTATATTTTCTTATCTTTATTCTTATCACTTATTTAATTAACAGAGTTAACTAACTAGTGAGTTTTAATTATATAATTTATATAGATAGAAGTTATAATCATTTTTTATCAGTTTTAATATTATTTATAAATGCTTTTAATTACTAGTATAGTAGTATATTTTATACTAAGCTGTAAATATTTAAAATAACTATTTATAAAGCTTATATTTTTATATTTTATATTAATATTAATATATAGAGATTTTATTTTATATTTATATATAATAAATAAAAGTAATTAATTATAAAAGTTATAATTACTCAGTAATAATAATTAATATTTATTTATTATTTATTATTATATTTTTATTAAATATTTATTTTCAGTTGTGTGATCTATCTACGCGAGTTACACTAAATAGGTTGGGGTGGCACGTGACTAGGGTAGGTGTAGTAATCATCAACAGTCTTTCTGCCACAGGGTATAGAATGGTATTAGCTGGTATGGTATTGTAAGGTGGCGTGTACTGCGGGAGAGACCGGCTTGGTATCAAACGTATTTGCTTTTTTTCTAAAACATATTTTTTATTTTTTCGTTCAAGGTTTTGTCTTAAAAGCTAAGCTGGAAGGGTTTCATTAACCAATGGCAAGAAGCATCAGCCAATGGTGGCAAACCTTGGAACCTTACTCCATACACGTACATTATGGCCTGGTTGGTGGTTGGTGGTGAGGGTGATGATTTGTAACGGTTGGTGGGTGGGTGGGTGGTAATGGATGGTACGGTAAGGGCCAGCATCCCGTTTTTGCCGTGTTTTGCCAGAGGCTATTTTTGCAGAACGGCGGAACCGGACAGCAGGAAAATTGCTCATAGAAAATAACGGCAGGAGTGGTATTATTGGTATTATTACCCTGTGGAGCCGTCATTTGGGGTGATTTTTGCATTTTCGTTTTAAATACATAAGTTACATGCTTCTACGCTGTACTGTACTGCTCCTCGTTCCGTATTATTCGTTCCGTCCCACACTCTGTCTATTATTCTCTCCTCTCTCTCTCCACCGCCCGATCCATCCATCCCATCCAACCCAACCGCCTTCTTTCGCCTGCTCTCTTCCATTCTCCCATTCTCCCATTCTTGCTCTCTTCTCTCAACTTCCGCCTTCTTATATCTATCCTCGCCCAGCGCTCCTCGTCTCCCAATTCTCTTTTTCTTTTCTCCTCTCTTCTGCTCTGCTCTGCTCTGCCTCTTCTTCTTCTTCCTCCTCCTCCTCCTCTTCTCCTCTTCCTCTTCTCTTCTTCTCTCCCCTCTCCCCTCTCCCCTCTCCCCTCTCCCCTCTCCCCTCTCCCCTCTTTTCTCCCCGCCATTGCGCTGGCTTCTGAGGACCATTCCAGCGCGTCAAATCTCCTCCTAGAGGAGGAAGACTACTAAATTCATCCTTAACCCCAAAGGTTCTCGAAGTCAGGAGAAAAAACTAGGAAGGACGCCGTCTCTATCCCCCAATCGGCGTGCGCGCCTGACTTTTATAGAATAAATCAGAAGGAAAAACCAGCAGAACAAATCGAAAAAAAAAAAGAAAGACAAAAACAACAATGTCGGATCCCACCGCGTCTGGTCCCCAGGGCCATGGCATCCCGCCAAACCACCTGGGAACCAACTTCCCGTCCGGTGACTTCTCCGAGAAAGCCACGGAACCCGTCCCCAACGAGAAGAAACCCCCTGTCCCCGAAGATGACGACGAAGACGAGGACATGGACGCCCTCATCGAGGAGCTCGAGTCCCAGGACGGCCATATCGACGTGGAGGATGAGGAAGACGGCGAGCCCGGTGGTGCCCGTCCTGTTCCTGAGGAGCTGCTCAACACCGACACGCGCCAGGGTCTGACGGATGCGGAGGTCCTTGTGCGTCGCAAGAAGTACGGCCTCAACCAGATGAAGGAGGAGAAGGAAAACTTGGTGCTGAAGTTCTTAAGTTATTTCGTTGGGCCTATCCAGTTCGTCATGGAGGTGAGTTGTTCTCTCTTTTTTTTTCTTTTTTTCTTTTTTTCTTTTCCACGAATTAAACAAGAACAAGACATTTTGTTAATGTAACAATTAATAGGCCGCCGCTATTCTTGCCGCCGGTCTCGAGGACTGGGTCGATTTCGGTGTGATCTGCGGTCTTCTCTTGCTCAATGCCTGTGTCGGTTTCATCCAGGAATTCCAGGCCGGTTCTATCGTTGACGAATTGAAGAAAACCCTCGCTCTCAAGGCTGTCGTGCTCCGCAATGGCCGTCTGGCTGAAATCGAAGCTCCAGAGGTCGTCCCTGGTGATATTCTCCAGGTCGAGGAGGGTACCATCATCCCCGCTGACGGCCGCATTGTCACGGAAGAAGCTTTCCTCCAAGTCGACCAGTCCGCCATCACCGGTGAGTCGCTGGCCGTCGACAAGCACAAGGGCGATACCTGCTACGCTTCCTCCGCCGTCAAGCGCGGAGAGGCCTTTATGGTCATCACCTCTACCGGTGACAACACCTTCGTCGGTCGTGCTGCTGCCCTTGTCAACGCTGCTGCTGCCGGGACTGGTCATTTCACTGAAGTGCTCAACGGTATCGGTACCGTTTTGCTCATCTTGGTCATTCTTACCCTCTTGGTTGTCTGGGTCTCCTCTTTCTACCGCTCCAACGACATTGTCACCATCCTCGAGTTCACTCTGGCTATCACCATCATTGGTGTCCCCGTCGGTCTTCCAGCTGTCGTCACCACTACCATGGCTGTCGGTGCCGCCTATCTGGCCAAGAAGAAGGCCATTGTCCAGAAACTGTCTGCCATTGAGTCCCTTGCTGGTGTAGAAATCCTCTGCTCTGACAAGACCGGTACCTTGACCAAGAACAAGCTCTCCCTCGCTGATCCCTACTGCGTTGCTGGCGTCGACCCAGAAGATCTCATGTTGACCGCGTGCTTGGCTGCCTCCCGCAAGAAGAAGGGTATTGACGCCATTGACAAGGCTTTCCTCAAATCTCTCCGCTTCTATCCCCGCGCCAAGTCCGTCCTCACCCAATACAAGGTGCTCGAATTCCACCCATTCGATCCCGTCTCCAAGAAGGTCAGCGCTGTCGTCATGTCCCCCCAAGGTGAGCGCATTACCTGCGTCAAGGGCGCTCCGCTTTTCGTCCTCAAGACTGTCGAGGAAGACCACCCTATCCCCGAGGAAGTCGACAACGCCTACAAGAACAAGGTCGCTGAGTTCGCTACCCGTGGTTTCCGCTCTCTCGGTGTTGCCCGCAAGCGTGGTGAGGGATCCTGGGAAATTCTCGGAATCATGCCTTGCTCTGATCCTCCCCGACACGACACTGCCAAAACTATCAACGAGGCCAAGACTCTCGGTTTGTCCATCAAGATGTTGACTGGTGATGCCGTCGGTATTGCCCGTGAAACTTCTCGCCAGCTTGGTCTCGGAACCAACGTGTACAATGCTGAGCGTCTCGGTCTCGGTGGCGGAGGAACCATGCCTGGCTCTGAGGTCTACGATTTCGTCGAGGCTGCTGATGGTTTTGCAGAAGTCTTTCCCCAGCACAAGTATAACGTCGTCGAAATTCTGCAACAACGTGGCTACCTCGTCGCCATGACGGGTGACGGTGTCAACGATGCGCCCTCCCTCAAGAAAGCTGACACCGGTATCGCCGTTGAGGGTGCCTCCGACGCTGCCCGCTCTGCCGCTGATATTGTCTTCCTTGCTCCTGGTCTCTCTGCCATCATCGACGCCCTCAAGACCTCCCGCCAGATTTTCCACCGCATGTACGCCTACGTTGTCTATCGTATTGCCCTGTCCCTCCACTTGGAAATCTTCCTGGGTCTCTGGATCGCTATTCTCAACACCTCCCTGAATCTGGAACTGGTTGTCTTCATTGCCATTTTCGCCGACATCGCCACGCTCGCCATCGCCTACGACAACGCACCCTTCTCCAAGACCCCCGTCAAATGGAACCTGCCCAAGTTGTGGGGTATGTCTGTCCTTCTCGGCATCGTCCTCGCCGTCGGTACCTGGATCACCCTCACAACCATGCTCGTCGGCTCCGAGAACGGCGGTATCGTGCAAAACTTCGGTGTGCGCGACGAGGTCCTCTTCCTCCAAATCTCCTTGACGGAGAACTGGCTCATCTTCATCACCCGCGCGAACGGACCATTCTGGTCCTCGATCCCATCGTGGCAACTGGCTGGTGCCATCCTGGTCGTCGATATAGTCGCTACTTTCTTCACGCTCTTCGGCTGGTTCGTGGGCGGACAGACGTCCATCGTCGCCGTGGTGCGTATTTGGATTTTCTCATTCGGGTGCTTCTGCGTCCTTGGCGGGCTGTACTATCTGCTCCAGGGCTCGACGGGCTTCGATAATATGATGCATGGGAAGAGCCCTAAGAAGAATCAGAAGCAACGCTCACTGGAGGATTTCGGTAAGAATCACTTATTGCTACTTGTTTTTTTTAATTTTATTTTTTTTTCCCAAAAAAAGTGGGGCGACTTGTTGCTAACGCAGTTACCACCTCCGTTTTACAGTTGTTTCACTCCAACGCGTCTCGACCCAGCACGAGAAGAGCACATAATTATTTCCAAAATCCTAGCCTACCTGTCCGACCTATCCATTCACCCACCACCCACCACCCATCCGAACCAAAAGAAAATAATATATTAAACACTATCCAGATTACATAGAGGATTGGGATCGGGAAGGAGGCCGTTTGGGAATATCTGTCTTTTTGTTTTTTGTTTTTTTCTTGTTCCTTTTTTTTTCTTTTCCTTTATTTTTTTTTTCTTTGTTCTTGTCTTTTCTTTTCCACGCCATATATATAGAGTGGGAGTTGGCCGTTGTGGTTGTATCCGTGCGTGCGTGTGTGGGGTGTGTGCGTACTCCTGGGGCAAATTTTGAGATTTTGAAAACGATGGGGTTGGTTGGAGGAAGGAAGAAGAAGAAAGGCAAAATTGCAAATATTGACACAAAAAAATGGGTGGGGAGGAGGAGAGTACATGAACAAGAGATATAAAAAAAAAAAAAAAAGAAAAAAAAAGAAGGGCAAGGCCGGCTTTGGGCAATAAAAAAAGAAGAGCAAAAGACTGAACGGAACAATCACAGATAAATAGCCACCAAACCCCCTGTACATAATAATTCTTTTTTTTGTTCTTTTTTAATTAATTTTTTTTGTCTATATCTTTCATCTTTTATTCTCTCTTCTTTTATTCTTCTCTGGTTTTTCTTCCTCCTTTCTTTAAATAAACAGTATTATAGATATTCTGAAGAATGATGATACAGAGATGTACAACATTACAAATTTATATACTCTGTACTCTGTACATTGCAGAACGAAGAACTCTTCAGATCTATTATGCATCAACCAACTCTAATCAAATAGAAGCTGGCAGTGAGATAGACCGTTTCCTCCCCTCTTGTTCAAGTGTAGTGAGTTGGTGCTGAATAAGCAATGGTAGTTACCCTAACAAAACTGAACCAATCAACTTCCACCAAATGTCTCTCCCTCTCCCAGTTCTCTCCAGCTTCAACTAACATGCAAAGTTACGAAGGAAAACAATGACGAAGGTAAACTCTACTCCGTAACTATACAACCAATCACCACCCAACCAGTCGAACCTATTGTCTAGGTACAGTACATTACAATGAGACAAACGGCTGAAAGATTGAACCGCGGGATCTCCGGGGCCCATCTGCGTCAGAAGTATCGACGTCATGGATCTGGCGGGGCAGCCAGGGGGGCGGAGGGGGGAAGAGCGTTTGTTTAAGGGGGCCCGGGAGGCGAAAAGTTTTGCCTGCGTGGGGATGGGAAGGGGTGTCAATTGGTGATATTATATTGCGAGTGGGTGGGTTGGGTTTATTGTGTTTGTAGCTTGTTGATTGTATGTACAAGTGGTAAGGTCTGCTCCCTCATCCCCCGCGCCCCTTTATGTATTGTTGTGTACAGTACAGTACAGTCGCAAGAGAGAGGGAAGAGGAGAAGGAGAGGAGAAAACTAACTTTCGAATTCTAGGGTTAGGAAATGCTATTTATATATACAAGTATTGGCACCTGATACCTGAACCGAATTGTTGCTGCCAACTTAGTAATATAATACTATACAGTGGGGAGCATCTAAAGTTTCAACCTCAGCTGCAACTTCACCCATTGTCTCAAGTACCGCCGTCTCTGCCGCCGCATCTTTCTTCACAGCTGGAGTGCTCTAGCCTGGCATATTCTATCCTATCAGTTCCCAGACTGCTCTTGTTCAGACGGCTTGTCATCACTCAACCCGGGTGGATTTGCGAGGAGAACAGTTGTTGTCGTATCTCTATATATACACATCCATCAGTCCATCCATCCCGAAACCAGCCGTTCTTGATATATAGACCGGTTGCACGAAGATCACCACTCTTTCTCTCTCCCCATTCTGTCTAAATCTAACCAGAAATCACCCCCATCGCCCCATCGCAGCTATTCCGGAACCACCCGCTTCCCATCGCAACCATGTTCCTGAAGAAGAACCTTACGGAAGAGGGCTCGTTGCCAGAGCACCATTCCAACTCTCACCGCAACCACAAGCATGGCGAGGGGCGTCACACGCCGCATCTGAGGCCATACGTCGACATGGTCATCTCCGCGTTCCAGGACCGGCGTTTCCAGCGGCGGACCTCCGTTTATCAGAAGCGGGATCTGCAGGATCGGGTTGCGAAGAAGAAGTGGACGGGGCCGCCGTCGGAGGTATATACATGCTACACACACATACCCCATTCATTTCCCAGTGACTAATTTCGTAAAAAAAAAACAATTTCAGACAATCTACGGCGGCATCTCCGTCCGCTCTAGCGAAAATAATGACATTATCATCGCCCTCGCCATCCGTGACACAACCTACTTCCTCGACTTCTCCGAGCACCACTTCCCCGTCGACGAGAGCTTCCACCCCACCGCAGACATCATCACCGACTTCGTCATCCATGAGCTGCGCAAGTACGAGCGCGAGCACCTCGAGAAGTTCATCGGCATTGCTCTGCCGCACGAGCTGGCGGAGCGCTGCCCGCATCTGTGTCCCCGCCTATGGGGGGAGCTGGATATCGTGCCGCTGGTCCTGCACGGCAAGGGCGTGCATAGCGTCGGCTGGATTAATCGGGAGTATTGGAATACGAAGACGTTGGATGAGCAGGCTGAGTCGGTGGCGAGGAAGTGCATCACGTATGTTTTCCCCTTCTTTTTTATCATTTCGGTTTTTCGATTTCGCTTCATACATGCGTGAAAAATAAAATAAAATAAAAGCTAACCAATATTACAGCTTCTTCGGGCCTAGCAAGGCGCCTCTGCTGCAGGTGGGGTATCGCGGAGGTGTGGAGGTTGACTGCGGCTTCCATGCTGTCCTGGCTAATTTGTCGGATTATGAGCTGACGGTTGGCTCTCGCACGTGGAATTCTGTGTTGAAATATGCGGATGATTTGAAGAAGCGCAAAGTCAAAGTTGCGTTTTTCAGCGCCACGCCGCAGGGCGGTGGTGTTGCGCTGATGCGGCATGCGCTGGTCAGATTTGCGGAAATGTTGGGCGTGGATTTCAAGTGGTGAGCTTAGACAATCTTATTATTTTAGTTAATGCCTATCTCGTGGCGGATCCCCTAATGTCTTTTTTTCTTCTTCTTTCTAGGTACGTCCCCCGCCCGCGCCCGGCCGTCTTCCGCATCACAAAGACAAATCACAACATCTTCCAAGGCGTCTCCAAGCCCGATGAACGTCTTACAGAGGAAAATAAAGCCGCCCTCACAGACTGGATCGTCGGCAATGCCAAACGATACTGGTTCGGCAAGGGCGGGCCTCTCTCCGCCCCATGCGAGGGCGGCGCGGATGTCATCGTCATCGACGATCCACAGATGCCTGGTCTAATCCCCCTGATTAAAGAGGTGACGCCGATGCGGCCTGTCATCTACCGCAGCCACATCCAGGTCCGCAGCGACCTGATTGCGGATCCAACGACGCCGCAGGCAGAGGCGTGGAATTATTTCTGGGATAGCATCAAGTGCGCGGATTTGTTTATTAGCCATCCCGTCTCGAGCTTTGTGCCGCATATGGTGCCGCGAGAGACGGTGGGGTACTTGCCGGCGTCGACAGATTGGTGGGTATTTGTCTATTTTCCCCTCCACTCTTTTTGCAGTGCCTGGAATGGTTCAGCTTGCTTACGCTCCTTTTCATGGATGTCGCAGGCTCGATGGATTGAATAAGACCATGGACGATTTTGACATTGGTTATTACGGTCGTATCTTCAACGCGAAATGTCGCGAAATCGGCATGACCACCATTGATTATCCAGATGGTATGTCTTTCCCCGCCATTGTCTTTTTGATGCATTTATGAACACACACATGGCTGACAAAATACTCAAGACGAGTACATTGTCCAAATCGCCCGCTTCGACCCATCAAAGGGTATCTTCGACCTCCTCGATGCATACGAAAAATTCCGCATCCTCTTCGGCGAAAACCGGCCCAAAGAAGAGAAGCCTCCCAAGCTCCTGATCTGCGGACACGGCTCTGTCGACGACCCGGACGGCGTGGTAATCTACGACGCCGTCATCGAGCACATCGACAACAACCTCGCCCACCTCAAGTCCTCCATCTGCGTCATGCACATCCCGCCCTCGGATCAGATCCTCAACGCCCTCCTCTCCAAAGCGCGCGTGGCCCTCCAACTCTCCACCCGCGAGGGCTTCGAGGTAAAAGTCTCCGAGGCCCTGCACAAGGGCAAGCCCGTCATCGCCACGCTCGCCGGCGGCATCCCGCTGCAAGTGCAGGACGGCAAAAACGGCTTCCTCGTCGAAGTCGGCGACTCCGACGCCGTCGCGCACCACCTCTACAACCTCTGGACGGACGACGAGCTCTACTACCGCCTCAGCAGCTGGGCCGCGGACAGCGTCAGCGACGAGGTGAGCACGGTCGGCAACGCGCTGTCGTGGCTGTATCTGGCCAGCGAGGTGTCGAAGGGCAAGACCGTGGCGCCGAACGGGAAGTGGATTAATGATATGGCGCGCGAGGAGGCGAAGGAGCCGTATGGCCGGCACGAGAATCGGTTGAAGAGGACGTTGGGGGATAATCAGGGGATTGGGGTTGGGGTTGGGGGGTTTTCGCTGCATAGGGGGCGGTCGAGAGATTTGGGAAAGTAAGGGGTATGTAGGTAGGAGAGTAAAGCGAGTCTGGTAGTGTGTTTTTTTATGCTTTTGCTTTCCCTATTTTTGTTACGTGCGGTTCGTCGCGAGAGTTGGTATTTTCTTTCATTTTCTTCTTGATATTTTAAATTCCTTTATAAAGTGCACGGCTTGTTAAAATTTTTTTGAATATGTTGCCTTCAAAAGAAAAAAGAGGGAAAAAAAGAAAAGAGAGGAGGGAAAAGAAGCTTGTCTTTCTTGCCTCTATCGATCATTCCAAGTTGATCATTCCAAGTTGTCTGCAGGTTTTGGTTTCTACATTTTTTGTTATTACAAATACCTGCACGGAGTAGATATAAGTTATAGTTTAGCTACAACATGGTTTATTTATATGGCTTATAGTTTTATAATTGCCATTTCACATTCCTGTTCACACAGGGTACATCGAAGGGAAGAAATCGAGTCCGGGGAAAAAAGGAAGAAATTCAAGGAGTCAATAAAAACTGGGGACACATTGACGTTTTCTTTTCGGCTTCATGTTATGCGGTTCTCATGGGATGGATGGGGGAGGGGAGGGGGTTAGTAGAAGAGCAAAGACACTCGTGTTAAAAAAAAATCATAATCCGATGAGAAAGCAGACATTTCATCATGATTTTTCTCATTTCCTCCTTGTCCTTGTCAACATATCGAAGAGGCGATTTTTTATTTACTTTATCATTTCATATGAATATGAAGGAAACGTAGGTGCCGGGATTTCCGAAACAAAAGGTCATAAATATGGAGTTATGAAAAAAGTTGACGTTGTCTCTCCTATCTCATTGAAACCGTCTACCGTTCACATTCGTATGTCGAAATTACACCTTCGTTTATTCTCTCTAGCAAACTGAAAAAAAAAACAATCTTCAGAGTGAAAATAAAAATAGGGGATGGGATGTCGAACAAGGACAAAAGATACATTAATGTGTGAAGACATATGTAACACCCCGAAAAGATGCTTCGCATGTATGACGGCATGACAGACAGCTCGGGAACAAATCACTAACGTGCACAAAAACGTAGGGGGGGGGAATCGAGCTAAAATAAAAATGGAAAAATGGAAAAATGGATATTAAGGCTGAAATGAATCAAGGCAACGGGGATGGATAGGTCTGAAGGGTTTTCACAATGTGGAGAGAGGAAAACCGACGAACGGAGAAATTTCATCCCTACCGAAACCCTGCACGGTATCACGACTTCGCAGGATAGCCCCAGCCACACCCAGCTTACAGGAAAGCAACCGCTAATCCCAGCGCGCCGAGGCCGAGGGAGCCAGCGAGCTGAGTCGCGCCGGAGATGTCTTGTGCGGCGCAGACCTTGCTGCGCGTTTGGGTCGATGGGTTGTAGCAGACGTTCGAAGGGGTGATGCAGGAGACGTAGCCGGGGCCGAAGCATTCGCTGCAGGTTGTGCCGCCGTTAGGGCAGGTCTGGAAGTCCTGGTTGCTAGGCGCATCATCATCATCATCGTCGTCGTCGTCATCATCACCGCCGCCGCTGCTGCCACCTCCACCGCCTCTCTTGGGGGCGCGGGCTTCAAGGCCCTGAGCGCGACGCTCAACGGAAGTGATCGCGATCAGGTCACTAGGGTTGTTTGGGGTTGCGGAGGCGACGAGGCCGAAGAGAAGGATGAGGAGGGTCGTGACCAGAGGCCAGCGCTTCATGGTGAAGGAAGACATTTTGATGGTATTGTTTTTGGTATTGTTTTGGTGATCGAAGGTGGGAGTGTGGAGAGGATTTATTATTGCTGGTTGATACAATTGGAAAAGGAAAGAAGTGTGATGGGGATGAGGAATGGGAAACGTGAACTGGGAAGAAGCTAATATATATATTTTATCGCTCCAGGCTGTCAGTGAGTGGTGGCTGAATTGACTAAACACGGCCACACCGCTGGCTACTGGCTTCTGAAAAAGAATCGATATCTGTGTCAGAGAGTGAAAAATATTTCAATCCGTGTTTGGGAAACTAAATCAGCCTGGCAGCAGTGGCAGGGGATCCGCGTAGTGATTGTTCTTAATTTAGGTGCAAATCCACGCTCTTCCTCAGCCATCATAACGGGGTCCTGGAGACAAGCAATTCATATCGGGGTGGAACAGCGCCTCGCCGCCAAGTCGCTGGAAGCCACTCAAACTCTCAGGGCCTTGCTCAAGCAGCAGTTTCCTCCTGTTTGGCTCTAGGGTGCGGGAATGCTGCTAGTGATTGGAGCCTCGCTTGCTCCTTTTCGAGCTAAAGCCGACATCCCCGCACGCAGTCAACGGTTCAGGCCGAATGCGTTTTCCAATTGGCGGTGTTCCCGACTGAGGCTCTGTTGGGGTTTTGGCTTTCAGCGAGGCATGAAACATCCTTGAAGATTCTTGATGAAGAGTGACGCAGAACTATGCAGTTCCAGGGCTTCGTGGGCAACAAAAACAACCCGCCCAACAAATTGTTGACTATCGAATACGAGGGTTAAATTGCGTCGACTTTCAGCTGAAACCAAACACTAAAGGGGCGGGAAGCAGTGCCAAAGTTGATCGTGAAAGCGTGATTTTCGCTTTGCGGTTCTCCTCACCTGTTCTCCTCACCATAAAATAGTTTTAGCCCTCGAATATTAGGGTGTTCGAGCAAGCATGGATGAATAGCGGGAATCCTGGCCGGCGCCGTCATGAAAATACAAGAAGTTAAAGCCAGAGGCGTTAATCGCATAGGGATGGAACTAACCACTAGCTGCCCAGAGCGCAGTTGCGTGGAAGTCAAAGTTTTCCAATCGCTGGTCAGTCAGAATGGAGATGCTGAAGTGTGATCGGCTTCAAGAAAAGCATGAAGAGTAAATTCATCGTATCAGATCATTCCCATGCTCCAGAATTTGGTTTCAGGTGCAGAAAAAAAAGATCACTACAAAAAAACGAGCTAGCAGACTGAAGATTTTCTCTGTCTGGAATACCCTCATCCTTCACACACCACCTTGATAGAGAATTCGTGGGTACAGTCGCATCGAAACTGCTGGCTTTTAGCCAGAAGTCAAGCATTTTTCTTCCACTTGCTGATCGCTGGTGGGTAACTTGTGAAGATCCTTGACAGGCTGAACATTGGGGCCTGAAGTTTGAACTAATGAGTTTCGCGCTAGAAACTTCATGATTTCATTGTTTCCTGGAAGGGAAAATTTCCCATTTACCAGAAAAGTGTGGTACCGTGGACACCCTGCAGATGCCATGCTGATGCATGTTGTGTGGTTGTACAGTGCTTAGGCCGAAACACAGCAAGCGTGGGCTTCCAAGGGTTTGGGACCCAAATATAGTGCAGAGCCGCATCTTAAACCTGCAGACAGCCAAACGGCCCAAATGGCCATCACAATCACTCCGACGAGATGCCTTGGTCTAGCATGTGAACATAAATGGGCGTTGCTATGCAGCCCTGGAAAAGCCAGCTTTTCAACCAACGCATTTGTGGTGCCTTGCGAACGGCACAATTTCGCCACCAACCTGCCACCGGAGAGCAGCGAAAGTCCATTGAAGTGATACCAAGCCATGCTTTGCCTGGAGGCTGGATATTAAGCCGTGTGGAAAATGGGCTGCTTATCTTCAGAAGCACTTCTGCGGGCGTGGTCAAAAGTCTCTCAACCTCGACGATATCAAACTTTCCTAGAGCAAGCCAAACGGAACCGCCCAATTCGAACCACGTCAGACAGCCTCAACGCCATCCGCCGTGATTAGAGGGTTTGGCTGGGTGCCGCAACGTCGACAGTCTTCCAAAGTCGATTTTTATTGATTTGACTTTGCGCTGGCCCCTAACATCAAAGCATGCCGCAGATTTTGTGAACTACCCTGCCCAACGGAAAAGTCGCGGTGGTGATAGTGATTGATCCCGGCTGGAAGAATATCCCAACAAGGCGCCATGGCGCTGAAGCATCGGTCGTTGCTGGTGAAACGCCTGATTCCAGTAGATGGGGCCAGATAAGAGCGCTGTTGATTGGTGCCAGATGTCATAGTGCGGCGAAATATGATTCCACCCCTGAAAACGTAAAATATATCAGCCTAGCTGGTCAAATGGAATGGGCTGTTTTTGGAATTGTTTCCCTTACTGTTTCCGTTGGATTTTGGTCCGGGTGTCTCAACCGCCGTTGGTGCATTGATTCATTTACCATTGATCGAAAGTCAGAATTTTCGAAAGGCTTTCTCTCTTGTTGTTCTAAGGCACTTAATCTCCGATTTCCTTCGGGTAGCCAGGAACCCTCTAACAACAGTAACCAGGATAAATAGAGCCTCTTAACTGGCATACATGAACAGAGCCATACATGGCATGTATACCACGTTTCCCCTAGCTAGTTTCGTCAGCTCGTTTTCGCACATTGTTCAGTACTCAATGAGCAGCGCCCTGTGAAATATACCCGGTGCATTCTTCACAGCGACCGACGGAAAACGTTATTCTATCATCGATGCGATCCTCTGGCACCTGGTTGATCACATCTGCTTTGCATATGGGTACCCCCTAATGCTATATCCAGCTATGCCGACCAGATTAGCTTGCATTGCCGTCGAATCGGCTGGGCAAACCGATCCCGCAACCAAGAGGGCAGCAACTTTTACGCCTCTTGGATAGGTTTGCGAATTCCTTTTGCGCATTACTTCCTGGCTGTCACATTTCATCAGAAGAGAGTGATGCACCGGTTGATCCATAGCACATACTCCAAAAATGGGGGAAATCTTGGAGGTCAAAATTGATCGGACTGATATGAGCTGCTGATCTGAAAGCCTTTCCGAGCCCGCTCATAGTTTAAAATTCCCAGTTGTCAACTACCTACCCCCTTGTCATGCTAATATAGGATCCCCATCCTAGGACCACTACAAATAAGGAACCTTTGACAACAGAATTAACCATTTTTCAGGTTTTGGCGGCTTGAACACCCTTGTTAGCTCTAGTTATTTTTCATGCTGCTGATTGGAACTTACCACCGGCGCGTCATTTGTGAAACTTCTGGCGTAGTTCTATCTGTAGTAGCCATGGCCATTGACACCTGAGGCTAGATTTGTGTGTTATACGTCTTCATTAACATGATTAGAATTGGTTTCATCGAAAACGCGACTTCCGAATGAATTTATGTTCGAAAAATGACGTCACTACATAGTTACAAGTCACGTGAACATGTTGACAGAAGTGTTATACTTCTTGCTCGATATATCTCACAATAGTTTTTGCACATCAGGTCATAAAGATAATGCTAGAATTACAAATATTTGAGCAGGACTCTCTCATTCACTATCGAGGGACGCGCTGCCGTTCTTTTCGCCATTTACGGGACTTCCCCTACCAATCGTAAAGCCCTAATATTCCCCCAGCAAAGGGCTGGCGGTCCCGCCATTCAGGGGGGTCGTGTGCGGCCCGTTCGTTTGCCTCCCGTTCATAATTCTATATTGTACCAGCGGGTGAATATAAAGCGTATCTAGCATGGATTCGGCCCCGCGGGAGATTCCAGGGTACTACTATGGTACGTATGAGTGCATCCTACATTGTATACTGTCTCGGGTTTGTGCCCGTTTTCGGGGCCTATATTCTCCATTGTCGAGGTCTCATTGATGGGAACAGATGACATGATTGTCATGGGAATATTCAATACACTTATCTTTCTATATTTCCGTATCACTAAAGGATATTTCAATTTTGTGTTCTGAACTAACCACGACCTATGCCCCAGACGCTGAGAAGAAGAAGTATTTCAAAGTCCAGGCAAATCACGCTGCACCATCCGGATCGAAGTACACAAGGGATGACATTAAAAAAAGAAAGGAGACATCTTTGGTTAGTGTCCTGTAGCACTTCATGTGTGGTTAATACACTCCACCATGCTAATAGTAAACTGCAGAAGCGAAAGAGGATAGAAGAGCACTCTCAGCGCATATCGACGGAGACTATCAAGAGGTCAAACCTGTTACAGTGTCCTCTCGGTGGCAAATTGCTGCAGCGGGAGTATGGCACGCTACCCTCCTCGAGGAGCTTTGTTTCCGAACACCGAGCCGTCGCATGTGCAAGGCTGCTTTCTAGGAATCGATTGGTCGATGTAACTAGCTATGATGCTAGATTTCCCGTGTCGAGGTTCGCCAGGGACCCTTGGAGTGGAAACCTCTTAGTTGGTGTGTATCCGAGTTTTCAACGGTCGCTATTCTTACTGATATTGATGTGTTTTTAATCTAGCGATCAATACGGCATCGAATTACAACCTTCTGTATAGTCTGCCAATCCAATCCATCGACTTTTTATGTGAGTATCGGGCCCTGCTGACGAAGATGTTATTAGGTCTTATCTTCCTAAGAAACAAAGTCGGCCCTGGCAGTACAGATTGCATCAGAGGCAGTGTAACTGTGCAATGGTGGGATATGACTGGGTAAGTGTGACCGCAAAAGGAGCTTCAACCTTTTCTAAGGAGTTCGGCAGGTCACTTCGCTCTCAATTGGTCCAACCGGCTGGCTTCTGTGAGTGTCTATCTATCGGTATATTTTCAAGTGGACGAGATGCTAAGACGATATATACAGTGTTTCGTCAAGCAATCCAAGCGGTGAAAGCGTTCATATTTCAACTTCTAGACTCACAAACCCGTTGGATGGCCGGTCCGCGACTCAATACGTCGTTGGTAAGAATTCTCTCACTCGTTCTTTGGAAATTGAATTGCTGCTTCGTTCCTTGAGTTACACTAACAATATGTCCATCTAAGATACCACAACCACGTTTTGCTACCCCGGTACTATGGTATGGTGTTCCGCCCCGTGCCCAAGTGCAACAGAGAGCATATTTGTAGTTGGAAAATCAAGTAATCTGTTATTTATCACCGGGATTGATTCACACTGGAACACGCAAACCGTCAGGATGCCGAATACTGCTGATATCATGGCTGTTGAGTGGCTGACCCCTCGAGTGGTAATGGCCGGGATGACCAACTCCCTGGTGCAATTCTATGATTTACGTAGCCAGGATACCGCGACGAGACTCCAACATCCACACGGTGTATATAAAATTCGGAAGGTAGATGAATGGCGGATTGTGGTGGCAGGGGCGAAGAAGAATGTATGCTACAATTATCGGGATTTCCCTCTATTGTCCCTAATCGTCATCGCTAAAATTCACCTTGATAGCTACATATGTACGATCTCCGCTATGGCCCCAGCGGCATTACAACACGTCCCCAACCCAACAAACCCAGTCACATCTCGACAGAACCCTACCTCACGTTCCACGGCTATGAAAACGACCATTTATCGCACGATGAGCTAGACATCAGTCCCGAAACTGGTCTTCTCGCCTGTAGTGAGTTGCTACACCTCCCTCTTTCCACCCTACCTCTGAGAAAAAATAAAATAAACCCACCCTCAAACTAACTCCATCCCAGGCTCCCCTTCCAACAAGATCCAGCTCTTCTCCCTCAACACTGGTAAACTTATCATGCCTCCACCCCTCATCCCCTCTCTTCCCTCTTCCTTCCCATCCGCCCACATCCAACCACAAGCACGCCAGCGCAGGGCTGCCGAAGTTTCCAATCCCAATCGTAGAGACGTACCTATTACCCACTATCGATATCCAGACAAGATTACCTGTCTACGTTTCGAGAATCTAACGGAGGTGCCAACGGCAAATGGCGCAGGAAATACGGGGAAGCCGAGTTTGCTAGTTAGCGCAGGACCTATAGTTGAGGAGTGGCGGATGTGAAAACGATTTTGATACGAACTTGGCTTGACAAAAAAAAAGGCATGAATACGCCTAGCGAGATGATGGAATTTATTTTCCTCGTTCTTTTCTCAATCGTTTTAGTGGAGGTCAACTGGGGAAAGCATTCGATATATGTACGATTTTGACTTTTTGCAATTTTATATTTGGAAGGTGTTTTGTGGCGAATTCAAAGGGATTAGGGATGGAACTAATAAAAACGGGGATATTGGGGTTTACGAGTCCAGGATTCTTTGAAATATTCTTATTCTGTGTCTTTGGGTGGTCATTATGGTCATCTTCATCAGCATGCATACAAAACCAAGTTTGCAATGGGTTGGTTTGGAGGGGAGAGTGTGGGCCAGGCGTGTTAGTTTTTTGTAAATATGCTGTGAAAAATCATTGCACTGGTTGTGTTTCTGCTGACCCTGGAGGAATACAGAGGACTCCAACGCACATGAAGAAGTCAGATCTGGGAACAAGATGGAAATTTCCTACTGCCTCCTAGGAGGAGGGAACGCAAAATCTAAGCCGCCAGACTACGCCTTGGATTATATACATATCGTGTTACATCTTAATCTAACCATAAAACATAAAACCCATGCACATACAATTATTCTACACCTACATTCCCCTCTCCTCCGGAAACTCGTCCGCAAGCTTCAACCGCGCAACGACATTCATGCTAAAAAGCTCTTGCACCAACAACTTCGCCGCGTATGGGATAACCATCTTCACAACCCCGCGCGACGTCTTACACCGCTGACACCACCCCAAATACCCCATAAACCCACAACTCTCACAGACATCTACCTCATGCCGATCAGACGAAATCATCAACCGCTCCAACAGTAACTGGCTAGTTCCATATGCAATCAGACAATCACGCTCCATCTCGCCCAGCCGCAGGCCACCATCCCGCGACCTTCCCTCCGTCGGCTGTCGCGTTAAGATTGCCCGCGGCCCACGCGCCCGCGAATGCATCTTATCTTGTACCATATGCTTCAGCTTCTGGTAGTAGATGGGTCCCATGAAGACATACGCCGGGAGCGGTTCGCCCGTGATGCCGGAGGTGAGGTAATCCTTGCCACCATACGAGAAGCCATGGTCGACAAGGATAGCGGACATTTCCTCCACGGGACTGCCGCCGAAGGCAGTCCCATAGCCGAACTGGCCGGAGAGAATGCCCGCTTTGCCCGCGATGAGCTCGAGCATTTTGCCCACTGTCATACGTGACGGAAAACCGTGCGGGTTCATGATAATGTCCGGGACGATTCCGAGGTCGCTGAAGGGCATATCTGCGTATTCGGCGATGATGCCGACGACGCCCTTTTGGCCGTGGCGGGAGGAGAATTTGTCACCGACTTCCGGCACACGGGTTTGGCGCGTCTGGACTTTGATGAGCTGATTTTCGGCCTCGGTGGCGGAGATCATGACCTTGTCGATATAGCTGGGGTCGGGGAGTTTGTACGTTTGTGGGGAAGGGATGTAGGCGATGGGCCTGCCGGCGTCTGAACCTGTGATGCCAGACGATAGCGCGTTTTCCGGTGTGACTTTGTTGATATACACTTCACCCTGGTTTACCTTTTCGCCGACGGCGGCAAGGCCGTCGCTGTCGAGGAGGGCGTGCTTGCGGATTGGCAGGCCGTTTTCGCGGTCAGGGCCTTTAAGTTTATCCTTTGTGCCGTTGGAGTAGCTTTTGAGGTTTGTGGAGTATTTGCGGAAGACCTGACAGCGGCCGAAGCCGCGGTCTACGGAGCTCTTATTTAGGACGAGAGCGTCCTCAATATCGTAGCCGGAATAACTCATGACAGCAACGGTTGCGCTTTGGCCGGCGGGGAGCTTGTCGTATTTGATCAGCTCGATCGTTCGGGTTTTCACCATGGGCTTTTGCGGGTAGACCATGGTGTAGAGGAGGGAGTCGATGCGAAGGAATTGGTTATTGGCAATAGCGCCTATGGCTTGTTTACCCATAGCGCATTGGTATGTGTTTCGGGGAGATTGGTTATGATGTGGATAAGGGATGAGGCCGGCCACAGCGCCGAGAATGGTAAACGGTTCGATTTCCAAATGCGTCGTGCTATCAGTAATGTCCTCCTCATATACGGCGATATAAGAGTCGTTTTCCTCATTGCAATCCAGATACTCTACTAGGCCATGAGCCAAGAAGTCGTCAAATTCCATTGACCCGCTCCTGAGCGCCCAGAGATGGCTCTTGGTTACTTTGGATTTCCCGTCTTCAACAACGATCAGTGGGCGACATATACGCCCATCGTCCGTAGCAATGTGCACGGCGTTCTGATGATGATTGATGAAGACACTGATGAATTCTGAAACCCTCCCCGTCCGCCGCAGCCGACGGAAGGAATTTAAGAAAAACTTCGGCCGCCGCGTTAGGGCGATAGGAGATCCGTTTAAGAAGATAATGTAAGCACCCTGGCCATGCAACTCGCGGCCGCCGACAGTCTGCACGTCTTCCGCGCCAAGGGCGAATATGAGTTTTCTCACAGGCTCCTCCTCGTCGTTGGTAGTGATATGCGTCATGAGCGCCAGGTTTTTTACAAGACCACAAGCCTCACCTTCCGGAGTATCGGACGGACAAAGCATGCCAAACTGGGATGGTTGCAGGGCTCGAGGTCCCGAGACTTTGCGGGTCTTCTCAAACTGACTTGAAATACGGGTCATCATGCCCAGAGCGGCGATGTAGCTCAATCGGCTCAATACATGAGTAACACCCGCCCGCTCCATGCGGAAACGCTTCAGGCTCCAATTACCGGTTGAGATGGCCCGGTTCATACCCTGGGTGATGTGATTTCCATGAATGGCGACGACCCCATATGCATCGAATTGTTCCGTCCGTACAGGCTTCTTCAGCACCTTATCAATATTCATTTTAATGTCAAATTGAAACTTCTTAAACAGATCCTCAAATAGCAATGCCAGGAGCTGGCCAGCGAGTTCCAGTCGCTTGTTCCCCACATAATCCCGATCATCTACTAGACTGGGGTCATGCTTCGCCATCAAAACACGCCGAGCCATATGTGCAACGTACAGCGCCTTGGGCCGGAAGTTCAAGTTTTCCACGACGACATGAGAGATGATAACAGAGGAAATTGCTTCGATGGCTTCCTGCACATGGTTTCGTCGGGTAATGCCAAAGCTGTTCGGTTTCCGGTTGATTTTGATTCTGCTACCGATATATTCCAGCGCCTGATGTTGAGTGTATATCCCGAGTTTCACGGCCTCCTCGAAGTTAATGGAAAAGTCTTCTTGGTAGGTGCTATCTATGCCGGCAACAAGAAGCAACATTTCCTTGTCGGACTGGATTCCCATGGCCTTGAGAAGGATGACGATTGGAACATCTTCATTAAGAACGTTATGTCTCATGTATATCCGGTCCTTTTTCATGATGATATAACTCTTCGACTTTCGTTCGTTCGAGGAACTGTCACACGACCGTTAGCGAAATAAGTCCCGTATACAATTAGGATATTATAAAATGATTAATATATCCAAAGAATAGTACACACCTAGTAACCGAAGCCTGAACAATCTCCTTTTTCAAATCCGTCTCCACAATAACCCGATTCTTACTCAACTGCTCTTGTACCAAAATAACCTTCTCCGTCCCATTAACGATGAAATACCCACCAGGATCAAGCGGGCACTCATGCAACAGCTGCATCTCCGCCTCTGATTTATTCGACAACACACACTTGGAGCTCCGCAGCATAACAGGCATGCGACCAATCGCGGTCCCGTTCCGCTTGACTCGTTGTCTACCACGGACATATTCAAAATCGACCAGGATCGGGGCCGCATAGGTCATATCACGCAGCCGGCATTCGTTTGGTGTGATAGTAGATGCTACATCGAATTTGGAGTCTTGTTCTTCATCTGCCCGCCGGGGATTGCCCAGGTAGATATCGTGGAACCTAAATCAAGCAGGCCAAATTGTTTAGGAGGCGTTTCTCAAAACGTAATACATCGCAGAAAAATTGAGAATAAATAAGAAAGAATAAGTACCTGATATAAAAATTCGGGTCAACATCGCTACGAATCTCCGCGCTTGCCTGCACGATCTTCTTCAATTGAACCTCGACGAAGTAATTATAGGAATCGATATGCTGTTTGACTAAGCCCTTCACTTTGAGGAAAGCGGGCAGTAAATTCCATTTATCTTCGGCAGTGTTAATTGGGTCTGTGAGGGATTTGCTGTAGTAAAATGGTTTGAGGAGCGCGTCGAAATCCTACATTTCAGCGTTAGCCAATCTACATGCAATATACTAGCTTCCACCCACCAGGAAAACAAAAAGAACATGAAAATAAGATAACATACGTCACCTCCTCTCTTCCCCTTTTTATGATGTGAATGCCCATGCGTATGCAATTCCGCTTGGGCATGGGCGGCGATGGTCGCGGGAGCGGGACCAAGGGCGGAAGGGGTCTTTATGGCCGGAGCTGTTTGCGCCGCACGCTTCCGTTTCATAGGACTTCCGGGCATAACTGGGAGGGGTAGAGAGTCCACTTCCTATATACATGAATTTGTCAGGCTTATATGGCTGTAGGGTTGAAGATGAGTTATAACAGAGCTGCGTGTGGACTGAAAACCAAAAATATGCCTTTTCACGTACCTTGGAGGGGTCGTCTGGCGGAGCTGCCTTTCTTCGGGGAGGCATTACCCTCTTTCAAGCAGCCTTTGGGAATTAGGCAAGCTCCGAAAGGAAGTGAGATATGTTCCTAGAAGAACTTAGACAAGGAAATTAGATCATAAATCGGGAGCGCTCATGTTTGGCAGAGCAATATGTCGTTCCGCCGGCCTCAATATCTCAAAAGTTATTTTTTTCCCCGATGACACTCTCCCGGAATAACTTGGCACCGAGATTCCGGTTGATTATATAACAAATTAAGCGGTGGTCCAAGCTTTTAAGGCTAATCCGTTTACAGAAAGTGGTCACGTGCACTATATTTCTGTTGGTGATTACTACACCTACCCTAGTCACGTGCCACCCCAACCTATTCATTTAGTGTAACTCGCGTAGTTAGATTACAATACAACACAACAACATTATTCTTCAAGAGGTTATGAAGCCCTCTACACAATGAAAAGCTGCAAAATAACATGCAATTGACATCTTCACACATCATTACAAGCACATCTAGATGACTTATTAAGTAATTGAACTCATGATTAATCTAAGATTCAGAGAGACATCTGACTTAACAAAAGAATACATATTTTCAAGATAAAAAAATGAGAAAATGTCAGAGTAGTAAACACAAGATCATAGATTATTATTAATATTAATAATGAATTGAAAGACAGCTTCTGAAGTATTTAAGCTGAATGAAATTATTGCAGAGAAACAGTCTGATAAGTTTAATATATATAAAGACTCAGTTGAAAATATCAGTGAGATATCAGATAATACAGAAGATTTAAGTGACTGAAATAATAATAACTCAGTGAGTGAGAAGACTTATATAAGGCTTGAAATTATAAGACTTCAGCATGAGATTGAGTATATAAAGATCAGTAGAGATGAGATTTTTATAAGTAATAAGATAAGAGTGAATCTGATAGAATATCTTCAATAGAAAGAGAAGACATCTATTATAATAAAAGTTCTTAAAGAATTCAGAAGTTAAGTAAGACTTATCAAAAGATTAATAGTTCTCACTGAATTCATTAACTACTCAATATAAAGAGAGGAAATTCTTTTAACTATAGAATAGTCTGAAACTGATAATATTCTTAAAGATAATAATCTTGATAAGAATGTTATCATGAACATGTAATATTTCTGAAAAGAATACAATTTTTGATTATATAATTATATATAGTCTGTAATTATCTTGTAGATTAAGACTCATTTCACTATACTTAAGAAATTTAAGTTGTCTACTTATACTTAATAAACTATTATAGAGAATAACTTTTCTGAGAGATCTGCTATCTGCAGAATCTGTCTGTTTAAGAAACTGATTAGTATGACTACTAAGTTAAAAGACTCAGATTATACTTTCATTGAATATCTAATTATTATAAGAACTGATTATATCTGTCTAAAATATGAGATCTCAGATATTATGTTTTTCAACAGACTGCTTACAGAAGTTAACAGAGATTGAGTCTTATTTATAAGAAATTAAATGAATCAAATTGACAAAGATAATACTTAACTCTTAGAGAAAGATTTTATAAGTCTGTACTATGATATTCTTTTACAGCTCTCTGCTGTAAATGAAGTAAATACTGATATATCTAGAAATTCTATCAATAACATATAAGATAAGAATAAGAAAGACAAGAATAAAGACAATGACAAGAATAAGAACACTGAATTCAAACCTGAATGTAAAGATAATAATGTGAGAACCTACTATCATTATCAAAAGATTGATTATATTCAGACTGACTGTTAAAAGAAATACTCTGAGAAATATTCTTCAAACTTCAATATGAATAGAAACAAGAATAAATACAGAGAATACAGATACTGCTTCTATTCATAATATTATAAAGTAAGTATATTATATCAAGAAAAAGGCCTATGTAAGTGATCAGACAGAAAAAGATATCTGAATTCTAGACTCTGAATCAGACACTCATGTCACACCTCACAGAGATCTTATCATGACAAAATCTCAGAAGATGAAAGTGATGTTAAAAATAACAGATGAAACAGTAATCTCTACTGCAGCTATAGAAGATATGAAGATTTAAGTGAAAGAGATGAATATACTGATAAATAATATCTGCTATATTCTGAAGTTAGAAGTGAATCTCATGAGTATAAGTAAGCTTGTATATCAGAGTTATATCTATAAGTAGTTGATATATGAGAATAATCATACTATGTTAATTATATCTCCTGAGTGCATGTTCTCATTTACAGTAAGATTAAATGAGAATGATATCTATGAGATGAAAAGACTGATTATATACAGAGACTTGATCTGGTTTGCTATACTTAATGATGATTTTGAACCTGTGAATATATTACAGATGAAAGATGACACAATATTAATACTATCTAAAAGAAATAATATAAAGATTATAGAACTTACAATAATGCAATGATATTAAAAGCTAGAATATCTAAATCTCATAGATATTACAAAAATAGTAGCAGATTCACATCTAGAAATAAGAATTATTAATCAATAAGCTTTATTATTCTGTAAAGTCTGTGTTCAGATAAAAATAACACATTCAATCTTCATATCTATAATATGAGCTGTTAAGTCAGTAATGAGATTCTTCATCAATCTGACAGAGAATGAAAAAACACTTTTTGATGAGAATAACACTCTCACTAAAGAGAGTGTAAGCTACTGATTGAGTATAACAGATAATACAATCTGTTATAGATAAGCAATTCTTATGATAAGAAAGAGAGAATCTACTGTAAGATTAATAAATTTCATTACAGATATTAAGATAACTATATAATATTAAGTTGAAACTCTACACTGAGATGATGAAGAAGAGTTCAAAAGTCAAGAACTTAAGATCTACTGTCAGAGCAAAGAAATAGCATATGAAATGACTATATCTGATATATTACAATTGAATGACTCAGTGAAACATATGAATTGAATAGTTGCAGAAAAGACATGAAGCCTACTATTTAATAGTGAATTAGAAAGAGAACTTTGAAATGAAGTAATATAAGCTGTAATTATGATGATTAACACATCTTCAACATCAATAAAGATATTTAAATGTAAGAAAGAAACATCACTTACATCTTTTAAAGCTTGAACTGAGATGCAATCTTCTGTTCATTGAATACAGAGATGAGAGTGTAAGATCTATAAGAAGAATTTGAAAGTGTTGAATAAGCTCACAGATAGAACTGACAGCAAGAAATAACAGCTGATTGAATATTAAGAATTACATTAATATCATGTGTGAGATTCTGTTGCACATCATCTTGAGATTGTATGAGATGTCATATTTGATGAAGCTCTTGACATAGGTGTAAATACATCTGTAAATACAGTGAGAGAATTCAATGAATTATCTAATAAATTAAATATTCTGAATGTCAGAGAGAGATGACAGTACTGCTTACTATAACACCTAGTGAAGAAAAAGTCAGATATTTTAAAGATAATTATTAATGAGAACTTAGAGAGTGTAATTGATTCAATCTATCTTCTAGATAATGAGATACAGCTTGTCATGAATGAAGAGTCTGAAGACTCTATTAATAAGAATAATTCTGTTCTAAGTATTCTGACAGACTGATCAACTACACTAACAGAAGTTAAAAGAAGCTCAGACTGAGACTATTGATATGAGACAATGAAAAAGAAGAGTAAGATATTTAAATAGAAGAAGATATATATTATTATTGAGAAGGCTCTGGAAATGAATATTCTTACAGATAAATAAGTATATGATTGAAAATTCAATAATAAGAGAAAGATTATCTGTTTTAGAGCTCACTGAGTGATTAGAAGATTCTTGTAATAGCAGAGTATTTATTATACAAGATCATATGCTGCAGTGATATCAGGGCCTACATCATACAGTTTATTTACTATATCAACTGTCAAAGAATGAAAGATCAAATGAATTGACTATGTATCTGCATTTTTAAATGACATACTATCACAGAATGAGATGATCTATATGCAACTACTCACAGATGTTAAGTATGACAGAGAGAACTTGATAAGACTACTTTATCAGAGTCTATATAAAATGAAGCAAGTTATAAGAATATGATATTTTCTAGTAACAGAACATCTCATCACATTGAGATTCAAGATATCATCTTATAACAGCAGATTTCTATATTACTCTGTTCACAAGATCTATCTGATATTACATGTTAATGATTGTCAGATGACAGAATCTCAAGAACAGCAATTAGACTGAGTATTAAAGAAGAGTATAAAGAGATTTGAGACAAAGAATATTGAAGAGATCAAGTTATATCTTGAAATGAAGATTAAATATCAGAGAAATGATGATCTAGCAGTTACACAGAGCTATTATATTGAGAAGATTCTTGAAGATTTCAGCATGAATAAGATAAATTCAGCTGACACTCTGATGACAGTCAGTATATAACTGAAATTCTCACCTGATAAGAGAAGGGAATTGAATGATGACTTTACAGCTATGAGATATTGTCAAGAATTGAGATCATTGCAGTATTTGATCTCAAGCAGCTGGTCAGATCTGGCATTCACAGTCAACTATCTCTCATGTTTTAACTTGTGTTCACACAAAGCATGTTGAGCAGTGTTGAAGCATGTCCTATGTTATGTCAAGAAGATAAAAAACCATGATATATTGTATAAGAAGGAGATAGAAGATGACCTGAGTTCTGTAATATACTGTGATTCAGACTGAACAGAGGTGAATCCTTAATACAAATCAACTACTGACTATGTTATATTGATTAATGAGTCACTGATCTCATGACAGTTACAGAGACAGACATCTATTATCAAATTAATCACAGAAGCTGAATATATTGCAGCTAGTGATACAGCTTATGAGATAATCTGATTGAATAATATGTTATATGATACTAGGTTGATGAATGATGAAAAAGTGAAAATATACTCACATCTATAAGTTGATAATAAGAGAGCAATTGATCTAGCAAAGAGGAAATTCTTAATATAAAGATCATATCACATTGAGATTAGATATTATATTCTTCATGACTTGATTGAAAAAGAAGAAATCATGATGAAACATGTTGATTCTACAGTGAACATAGCTGACAGACTCATCAAGTCACTGACAAAGCCTGCATTTGA